CGGGGCTTGCAGCCATCAAGACTGCAGCCGCCGAGCAGAAGGTCTATCCTGCATCACTCAACCCCTCGCCTCCAGGAAGCGGTCAGACTGGGTTCTGGCGTGCAGCTGGAGTTTCAGACGGAGGAAGGACGGGTAGTCCAGACAGTGGTCGACCACTACTGGGCGCTGCGGACCTTAGCCTATGCCTGGGGCTGGGCTGGCCTCTTCAAGCAGCAGGACTTCGACAAGCAGGACCGCGCTTTCATGCCCTTGGACCAAGCACTGGCCTACGCGGACCATGCTTTGCAATCAACGATGGAGTATGGCCATGGTAGTTTGCTCTGCCCCAGCTTTGCAGCCTTCTATGCCTGAGGCGGCCCCGGCCAAGCGCAAAGCTGCGGAGATGGCGCCCTCTGTGGAGACAGCTCCTCCGGCCAGGCGCCAGATCAAGTCAGACAGGTGGCCTACAGTGAGCCAGATCAAGGGCGGCCAGCGGTTTTGCAAGCCATGGAATGATGGCAGGGGCTGCCAGCAAGATAAGTGCCCCAACATCCACAAGTGCGACGTGAAGCTCTCTACGGGGAAGCCATGCTCTGCAGGCCATACTCGCCTGCAGCACTCTGAATAGGGACAGCTCCCCCTAGGGGCCTGGGAGCCCCGGGGGGAAGAGGAGCCGTGGCATTCTTCGCAGCTTTCCCTCATGGAGGCACCGCATCCCGGTCAGGGCAGGCGTGTGGTTCTGGCTGGAGACCCCGCTCCTCTCATGGGCCCTATGGATGTCACCGCACGCCTCACAGCGGCCAAGCCTGTGAGCTGGCGGGGGCGCAGCGACCTACCGCAGTACCCATGGGCGAAACCTTTTCGGGGCACGTGGTTGGTTGTTGATTTCTGGGCTGGTGTGGGGGGTCTCTGTGTAGCCCTCCTCGCCATGGGTGTTCATTTCTACGCCCTCAGTGCTGACAATGATGAGGATGCAGTGCGCTGTGCAGCGCAGGCTATGCCTAACCTGGTGCACATGGATCGGGTGGAGGATGTGCGGGTCGACCACTTTCGGGGCCTTCTTCAGCGCCGTCACCCGCGAGGTATCCTGATTGGGGGTGGCTCCCCATGCCAGGGCAACTCATCCTTGAACACCAAGCGTACAGGCTTGGATGACCTCCGCTCTCAACAACCACTGGAATTGCAGCGCATTATTCATGAATTTCGGGCTCTCCCTGAAGCCGCGGGCATGAAGATCGTGGCCTTTTTGGAGAATGTCGCAAGCATGCCTGCACATGTCCGGGACCAATACAGTACCTGGCTGGGCTGCCAGCCTATTTGCATGGATGCGGCCAGCTGTGTTTGGGTGCGCCGGCGGCGCCTTTTCTGGCTCTGCTCGGCCACTCGGGGCGTGAGTGCACAGACGCCTCCGCCTGCTTCGTGGACGTGGGCCTCAAACGAGACTACTGTCCCTACATACGCCTCGCTTTGATGGAAAAAAGCCGGTGCCTGCACAGGTGTGGTGGAGTGGTCCTTACCCCCCACTGTTAGACCCGGTTCAAGTGCTCCGTGACCAGGGTGCCGGAGCTATGCACACTTTTACTAGAGAGTTTTGGTACCCGGCTGATCGCGTGAGGGATGCCACCCCAGCCGCGGTTGATCGGTTTCACCACGATCATCGCAGGTTCCCCCCAGCAGAATATGAGGAAGCCTCCTTGCTCTGGTCTGGGTCGGAGTGGCGTACCCTCCATCCGTCTGAGCGGTGCCAACTTATGGGGATCCCTCCGGACTTGGTTGTACCAGTGCGAGGGCACCCATCCAAGCGTACTCAAGTCAAGGCTTCCTTGTTTGGCAATGGTTTCCACATACTGTGCATTATTGCCCTGTTAACCATGCTGCCTGGGATCTTGTCTACCAAGATCCACTCTCCGCTATATGACCATGATGAGCTGGCCCTTCAGGCACGCCTGCAGCACTCGGTCTGGGCACCGGGCCGCCTGCAGCACATGCCTGGGTTGCTCCAGGTGGAGGAGGTGATCTCGAGATTGACAGTTGTTTTTCCATACATTGGCATAGAGTCGCCGGTCTGGGCTGCGATCCGTCCGCGTCTCGGCTCGTATGATCTGTCGCTCCTGCAGGCCTACCCTGCATGGAGGCACTTGCGCCAGGAGCCTTGGCAGGAATTGGGGCCAGTTCCTATTTGGGGGCGGCAGCGAACCGAGATTTATGCAGGTCTGTCGGGCCAGCGCTATGCGAGTTTCTTCTGCTAGAGGCCTCGACCACCTGTTGGTCCCCGGGCTTGGGAAGGAGGCTCATGTCGCAGCATCGGCCGAACTGCCTACCCCTTTCTACCCGCGGGACTGGCCAGAACCGGATATTGGTTTTGTTGTTGAAGCACTGTATGTATGGCAGAAGTGCCTCCCACGTATGCGGCCAAACTCCGGCATGTGTTGAACACCGTGTCGAGGGCCCTCACACCCCTGGAAGAGGCCTTAGTGCCCTTTCGCTGCCTAGCGGCGAAACAGGTTGCTCACGGAAGGAAACCAGCATTGACTGCTGTGCTTGCCGTTTTGATTCGTTGGCCTGACCTTTCGCTTGCTCAGCACTTGGTGCACGGTTTTCCCATCATAGGAGTTTTGGCCCATTCGGGTGTGTTCAGACCCGTCAGACAAGAAGGCAAAGCGGCTCTACCCGAGTGGCTGGGTCCCTCGGCAGACGCAGACGTTCGCCGGCTAGTGCATAGCAGGCCTCCTCTGCACAGTGATGCTATCCATCAGATTACTTTGGAGGAGATTGCTAAGGGCTTTTGCAGCCCGTTGCGGAGTCTGAAGGAGATGGATGACTTGTTTGGACAGGGTGGATGGAGGGCGGTTGAGCGTTTCCTGATCATCCAGCCGGATGGTACACAACGGGCGATAGACAATGCGAGAAAGAGTGGACACAACCACCATATGACGATGCCTGAGACCATCTCCACGGTCAATGTTGACTTTGTGGCTGCGGTGGCTCGCATGGTGGACTCAGCATTTGCTCTTGACCGCACACCACCTCCCAGCTGGTTGGATCTCCGTCTGAGCACGGATGATCTCCCAGAGGCATACAGGGGGTTGCCTGTATGTGACGAACACCTCTGCTACTCAGATGTGGCCATTTTCGTCCCACATGTTGGTTGGAGGTTCACCACTATGTAGGGACTTGTTTATGGCTTGGAGAGTGCAGTTGGGAATTTTAACAGGTTGCCGCAACTGGGTGTAGCCATTGTGAGGCGATGCCTCCTTGGGTTCGCGGCCGCGTACTTCGATGACGAGTTGGCCGTCGATCTCATCCAGGATCAGATGTGTCCCAGGTTGGTTTGCAACTGACATTCAGGTTGTTAGGCGCACCGCCACAGCCTGCGAAGTCGTTCGCCCCAGGGCACAAGCGACATTACCTCGAAACATCCGTCCATGTTGGAGACTTTCGTTCATGAGGGTTTGATCCGATTTCAACCCAAGTTTTCCACATCCACCAAGATTTTAAAGAAACTGCGTGCTGCCCTGGACACATCCAGTCTCTCCCCTGATGATGCCGGCAAGCTCCGGGGCGACCTCAACTGGATGTTTTCCATGTGCGCTGGCTATGCAGGCCGTATTGGGGGACCGTTGCTCGCAGCCAAACAGAAAGCGGCATCTCCAGATCTTTCCAGGGATGATTGCCTGACACTGCGGCTTCTCGCGGCCATTGTGGCTTGCCCCGAACCGCGGGTCATCTCTGTCCGGTCTAAACCAGCAACACCCCTGATCATCTACTCTGATGCGTCGTTTGAGAATGATACACTCCGCCTGGGCTGGGTGATCATGTGGCGAACTGACACCCCCTGTGGGGTGACCTGCACAGTCCCCCAGCGGGTCATCAGCTCATGGCAACCCCGCAGCCAGCAGATCTACCCGGGTGAAACCTTGTGTGGACCGCTGGTTCCCTGGTTCCATGGACACGCTCTGGCCGACTTGGATGTATTGTGGTTTGTGGACAACGAAGCTGTAGTGGCTTCCCTGTTTCGGGGCGGGAGCTCTCAGGCAGATGTCCACACCATGGTTCAACTTGCGCATTATTTGCTACAGCATTTTTGGATTCGAGTATGGTTCGAGTGGATTGATAGCCACTCCAACCCCTCGGATCTCCAACCTTGGCACCTTTTTGAAGACGATTTTTCCCCCTGCTCTCGCACAGGTCGCTCGTCCAGAGGACCTTTCCTCTTCTCTTCCAGTATGGACAGTGGGTGAAGTTGACTTTTGACAGTGGGTTGGATGGCAAGTTCATCTAAGATGACTTACCAAGCTAGTCTG